AAAAGTAGAGAAATCTATTCCCTGTTATTTGGATTTTTACACAGAGGACGACACCCAGAACATCATAGGTGGGGGGGGAACTTTCTTACTGAATCTAAATTGAGTTTTTAGGAACTTTCCTTAAGTTTACATTTTACTGTTACCCTGAAATCTTAACGCCTAAATCTGGATTTTCTACTCCAAACATTTTCCAAACTGGCTCCTTTCTCCAGCTCAAACACATTTAAGATGATTTTTTAATTGTTTTTATTCTGCAACCGTCTTCTTCCTAAACATCAGCACAGATATCAACCTCGATACCCTGGATCTTTTTAACCTGTTGACTAGTGAGGTGTTCTCAGGGAGCGAGTCGCTTTCAGTCGTTTATGTGAACAATCACAGTTGGTTCCCTTTTCCCTCCAATTTGTTTTTCTGTTATTTATTACAAAAGAGTAAAGGCATGATCTTTTGTCCACACCATGCCCTGACTGAGTGGAGCACAGTGTGTGAAAAGCAGGTGAGGGTAACAAACAAGTTAAATAGTGTTAATACAATACATGCACTCATAGGTCCCAGCATTGCCACATTTGGCCGATTTAAAAAACGCCAACATGGTACCAAATAAAGTTTGAGCTCTCTTGTTGCTGAGCTGAGCCGCATGATCCGGATCACTAAAAAGAGCAGGAACTCCCATCGCCATGGCAGACACTACGGGTCCATCAAGACAAGGACGAGCAGATTTAAAGACAGCATCTATATGCTCTGATCCTCCTGCAGAATTGTCACATTCCTACTTGTGTGAAATATGTTTCTGGTTCCATTTGCATGTTTCTTCCTGTGCAGTACGTTGTGTTCCACCGTGCAGTGTACATTATTTCTTAAAAGCAGTTTTTTATGATGTTACTGTGACGACTGAATGTTGTGCACTTCAAGGTGAAGCATTAAAGGATTTCACAGTACGGTGCATCATTCAATACCACCGGTTTAAAACGATGTAACAATTAAAAAAAAACATTTTAAGGGTTTTTGCTTTCATTGATAGGACAGTGGATGGAGCGGGAAAGTTGGAGAGAGAGAGAGAGAGAGAGAGAGAGAGAGAGAGAGAGAATGACATGCAGGGAAGGAGCCACAGGTCGGATTTGAACTCGGGATGTCCGCTTGGAGGACTAACCTCCTTACATGGATCATGACCTCACAGCTACTAAATCTGCAAACTTAATCTGAACTATTTTAACGATCTTAAAGTACCAAACATTAAATAAACTACAGATCTTCAGTCATATTTTTACCTAAAATCTGCCACAAGCAAAAGAGAGCACTGTCTTATTTACACACAGTAACAAAGACATGTCTCAATATTCACTCACATGGGACTTGTAGTTTTTGGTGCCATGGTATCCAAACTGGAGTTAAAAAATCAGCCCTCGTATGATGACAATAAAGACTTTCTTTTCAATAACACACAGAAAAGATGGATCTTCTGGGTATCTATCAGACATATCAAACTTTACAGACGTGACATGACGCGACACAGACACATGAGTCAAACCGTTGAAAGCAGCGTTTGTAACTGAGGAATTTAAGTGGAATGGATTTAGGTGAAGAAACCATTACCGAGCATTACAGAGCACTTTCAGAAGTTAATGCTCATTACTTTCAGTATTTTGTTCTTTTCTGCTACTTAAAGTTGGAATGACTCAAGTTGGATAATCTCCTAAATGTGACGTCAGGATTAGAGAGCCTTTCACACAAACATCTGATTTAGAGTCCTTCAGTGTGACACTTTTTTAATTCTATTTCAGAGACGTCGACTCAGCCCCCCTTTTTTTTCTTCTTTTAATCAGACTCTCCTCTTCTGTATCTGTATTTCTACTTAAGCAAAGACTGTGTGTGAATGTGCAACCTCTGCAAGTAGCAAACCCTAAATGTTCTATTTCTGGAATATTTAGTGATGAAACTCATGAGAAGAACTTTTCGCAGCAGCGTGGACATGCTGAGCGTTGCACATAAACTCTCCACAGTTCACTAACATCACTCTGGTTTCACTCCAGAAGAAGAAGAAGGAGGATCCCAAAACCCAGCGAGGAGTTCAAAGCCTCCAAAAATGTCCTCATGCTAATATTTTCTTAAAGCATGAAAGGGAAACACAACCGCTGCCGTGAATAATAGATGATCATTAATCATGCACAACCATCTTCTTGTGGTAGTAGCTCGGAGGCAGAAAAAACTGTTTTAACCGGGGTTCAACTCGCTGTCATCTCTCCGAGGATCAATGCGAGGCAGTCACATGCTAGTCACACCTCTGTGGAGCGTCAGTAATCTTTAATAATAGAGCCGGGGGAATCATCAGCCTGAGCTGGATTGACTTTGTCTTTTTTTTTGGGGTGGAAAGGAGGATTAGGGGTTGTTTTTTTTTTGGAGAGCAAACGGAGAGAAAAGACACTCGAGAGGATAATCTTCCAAATCAGTGCTTCTTTCTTCTTCTCTCATTTATTCCCTGTCTCTCTTCTCTTGTCCCCTCGTCTGCTCCCTCCCTGCTTTCATCACACCGACGCCCCTCTGTTCAAAGCAAACGCACCCTCAGGTGAGAGGAGATATTGATCAGCTGAGAGGCAAAGAGAGAGAGAGAGGGAGAGAGAGAGAGGGATCTGCCTTTAAAGCTGTCAGAGGTGCTGTGTGCCTTCAGGTGTAAAGAGCTGCAGGATGTGGACCGCATGGCCTCCTCTCAGGCTCAAACTAAAACGTCTTGAAGTCTTTTTACTCGTGCAATGTCAGACACACGACCATATCTGTCCAAGTGTTTGTCTCGGAGGATGCAGAAACACAAATGAGTCCCTCTTAGAATCTGATAAAAACTAGACAAACCCACAGCAAACTGCATAAAAGTAAAATAAGACATAAATAACTCTCTTTTAGATTATTTTAAGAACTTTGTAGAAGTTTAAATAGGAATCTAAAATGGTACAAGCTTGAAAAGGTTGTTTTAATAGCCTCAGACACATTATGAAGGGATATTTTGGTTAGGGTTAAGTGAGTGAACAACTTGTTAAAATCTCTGCTGTTCAAAAATCATACATTTGGTTCTCCTCTTTGCAGTCTCACCTAGACACACAGAGGGATGTGTTTTGTGTTTCTACAGAATAGGACTGTTTAAGTATTCAATATGTAAAATCAAGCCCAGTAAAGTTTAGAATCAGGTCTCAGAGTTTATCCTCAAAGATGGAAACTATTTGCATATCTGTAGAACAGCCCTGATTGGATCTCTGCTGCAACACACAAAGTTTGTATTATTTGAACATGACTGTGAATCAGTGTTTGTGCAGACAACGATCCGCCTTTTCTTGTTAAATTAGACAAGTTTGAGGCAATTAATGCACTATTTACTTATTTATAAAAGGAGAAGAAGAAGAAAAGGCAGCCTGAGCTGAGCGCACTGGGGAATGGTCTCAGGCCAATTTCTATAATGAAAAGAAGCAATCAGAGACTCATTTGGAGCTGAAATGTGTCTGAGGCTCGCCTCTGATTGGAAAACGCTGCAAACAGAGGTGCGTCATTTCTCGGGTCAATAGATGCAATTAATTTGCAGCATTTACACAGCTATTATCACACGCATTGCTTGTTTTTCACGGCTCCGGAATTTAATTGGCTGACGCATTAGAAGACCCCCCCCCCAAAAAAAAAAAAAATCTTATTCCAAGGCCCCTCACATGCTCTCTTTGAGGATGCAATAATCCGCTAATTTTCTCCGGTGATGATTTGACGTGGTGGGGAGTCAAAGCCTGAGCTGAGTGGCCCTAAATCACCATCTGAATCCCATTGAGGCGCGTGTGTTTGAAGAGAGGGGGATGAGTGATCTGCTGCTGAGGGAGAAGAACCGCACAGCTCGTTCATTCAAAAAGGGAGGAGAGAGAGAGAGAGAGAGAGAGAGAGAGAGAGAGAGAGAGGGGAATAATGCTGCTTTCTGGAGAAACTTCAGAGATGATCAGAGGCATTAGGGTGTGCGGCTGTGTGAAGCTGATGTGTAATTCATAATTCTGCTCCGAAGCAGAGAGAGAAGACGTCACTGTTACAGCGAGGAGAAAAGGCGTGAACGACCTCACCAGCAATAAATGTCGATACGAGTCGATATTTCACATTCTGACAGAGAAATAATAAATGGAAACGTTTGATTTATAATTTAAAGAAACCAAACTCAGATCACGTGCATCATATTAGCATCTAAAACTAATCCTACAGGGTAGATTGGCGTGCGCAATTCCCTAATTTATCTACTTTGTCTCAAAAGTCTGCCACTTGATTTAACATTTTTTCCTTATTTCGACTATTTTGAGGAAACCAAAGAGTCATCATTTCAACTCTAAGACACGAGCCACTGCCTTATGAGTTAACGCCATCAGGACAAATATTTTAAAGCAAGTTGATTTCCATTCAAAACTGCGGAAAATGCTTACCAAGTTGGCAATCTATAGGGGTTTATTTTAGGAACAAGGCGTGCGTAATTTCACCAAGTTGTCTGAAACACATTGTAGAGAAACCTGTGCTCACTTTCTCCGACCTAACGTGATATAATGCACCCAGAAAAGCGTCCTTCCTTCCTCCGCGTACAGCAGCCAAAAACGCGCCGATTACGCACGGACCGAGGCGCAGCGGCACCTGTGCTGTGTGCACGGCCGTGGGGCTGGTTCCTGCTGCTCCACGCTTCACACACAGAGTACACACACTGAGTAGTTCAACACGGCTACTCAACGCTCCCCGAGAGCTCAACCTGTCCGACCCGCATCTACAAGGAAGTGGAGCTAATTTCTGATGAGTATTCATGAATAATAAAAAAAAAGTTACAACAGCATCAATTCATTTAAAAAAAAAAGGTTATTTACCCAAAGTATCCCGTCCTGACAGCAAATCCCTGTCTTTCAGATGTCACCAAGCATTCAGAAAAAGAAAAACAGGCGATATTCTCCTGAGAACTTCACAAAAAAACCCAGAAAACTTCTTTAAAATCCGTAAGTCCTCGCGCTTTTTGGCGACAGTGAACAAAAAAAAAAAGAATAAGTCAGAAATCCTCCCCAAAGACTTGACAGCGAGAGTCCTCGGCTCGGGCACACAGAGACAACTTCTCCACTAAATCCCGTGTTCCAATGCGCGCTGCTGTCCAGAGTGTCCAAACCAACCAGAGAGCGGTTATCCTGTGAGGCGGTGCACCGGGCAGTGTGTGTGTGGCGCGGCCGGACTGGACTGCAGTGATCCCGGGTACCAGTCGGTGTGTTACGTCGCCGCGGATCAACCAACTCGGACTGGTGACTGAGCTCCGCTGGCTGCCTGTGAAGTACAGGGGCTGCACGGGTTGCCGCTGTCAATACACACCAACTGGTAGGCTGGGGAAGTTTCCGGCTTACACCTCCAAAATAAGATTGTTCGGCTCCGAGCCAGTGACGCAATGCTTTACTGAAGTGCCTTATACTGTGTGTTACATTCACACACAGAAAACAAAATGAATGTACCCTCATTATTAATTCTTAAGATGACTTTAATGAATACCAAATGACACAGCTGGATTGAAATCATAAAACTTTGCAACAGATCTTCATTCACAGATCTGTAAAGCTGCTGCGAGTGAAAGACATAAAGCAAATGTTGCCAACACATTTGTGCAATTTAGAGAATGTGCGGGAGTTTGTCTGCTATATGATGTAATTAAAAATAAGAAATCATAATTTTTAGACTTTTAGACTTTTAGACTTTTAGACTTTTTTGTTGCCATGGTGACAAAAAATGTATTAATATAAATTGAGTTTTACTAGCATCGTTTCAAAGTGTAAAATGATTCTTATCATGACAACCTAAATAAAAATAATAGCAAATTTAGAGCAGATGTTGTTTGTTATAACTGAAACCAAACGTCGTCCTGCACTTTTAAACACAACTGTAAAGTGTTTCCACGACTCATAATGCTCATATCTCTATTTTATTGATGACATAGGTGTAATTATACATTGTAATTATATTTTACATTTATTTTTTACTGTTTGATGTATGTAACTTGTGTCCCCCGACAGAAGGAGTCATGCTGTTCACTATCTGTCTGATTTTTATTCTTTTTTTTTAAGCAACCAAATCACACTTCAAAAATCCTTACATGTGCAATAAAACTGAATTTAGTTTATTTCTCTCCTTTGTTTCATTTGTTTCCTCTACTTATGTTTTAGGACATTCAAGAAAACTTCATGAAGCAGTTATTTGTCATGTTATTGCGTCAGGATGTGTCTTAAATAACAATAACACAATAATCCTGATTTAAAAAAAACAAAAAACCTGAAAACAATTGTGTGAGCATAAAAAAAAAAGTCCCACTTCGGTTTGATGTTAATTGAGCCATCAAGTGAATCACAATCTGCCACGCACTGACACAAAACGAGCTTTTATTTTGAAGGCTTCCCATGTGCTGCACTGTGTGGGTGTGTGAGTGAGTGTGTGTGTGTGTGTGTGTGCGTGGGTGTGTGTTTGCTCTGCTCTCCTCCTCGGTCCCTCCGCGGTCCGGGATGCCTCCTGGCTGCCTCTGCCGGGCTGCGCGCCGCCGCCGCCGGGACAAACAGCAGCAGCAGCAGCAGCATCATCGGGGGGCGGAGGGGGGGAATCACATTTCGGCGCGCCGCCCCTCCGGGACCGCTGGAGGCAGCAAGTGACGAGAGACCCAAGCGCCTCCCAACTTTGCTTAAAATTCGTTCAGGAAAAAAAAAAAAAAGAAATGAAAAGAGGCTTACTGCGGAATCCAGAGCTGCTGTGTGAGCCTTAAATATGATTTCTTTTTATTTAACAGTCAATGGTGGCCAGTGTGAGGTTCAGGGAAACACCTGAAGGGAATCTTTGAGAAATCTATGTTCCATTATACATTTGTGGACTTTATAGTGTTGGGACATAATGTCTACTGTGACATGTCTCTTTGGTAATCTTCAGGGGCGCCAATTGATGATAAAGCCCTGAAAGAATCAGGGGGCCCCCGAGCTGCTCGAGGGCCCTGCAACATGTCAAGGATTACAGCTTGATGGTGCGTCAGAGCTGGTAGCCTCCAGGTTATCTCGCCACATTCCTTTCAAAGAATTAGAAAAGAGTGACAGACGCTTCCAGAACGACTTTTTTTGCAGCACAGTGCTGCAGCTCTGTTGGACAGGAGAGGGTTCTCGATCATTTTAGCTCGGTAACTTGTATCATGAAACTGTTTTCACAAAAAGCTCTCCTGACAAATCTCAAGTACATTTTCAGAGCCACACTCTGACATCTCTCCACGAGTGCATGTCCACAGGTTCTGTTTGTGCATGTGTGTGTGATTTGGGCCTTTATGTCTCTCAATAACAGAGTGTGAAACCAGAATTTCACTCAGGGATTAATAAAGTAAATAAAACATTTTTTTGTAAAGGACCAGAGACGATGTCATTTCTAACATTAACATAATGCAAATATTTCAGGCTTGTTATTTTATTTTTATGTTTTTTTGTCTAATCATCCGAGAGGATTATATTGTGGGGGCGGGATGGGGAGCTTTTGGGGGGCCGGATGTAGGACAGAAGAGGAAAATATCTCCTGAAGTGGGGCTGACCAATCATGGGTCAGAGAGAAGACTGAATGGAAGAACATTGGCTCGATTAGATAGGATGTGTTATTGAGTAAAAAACATAAATACATTATATTTTTGTCTGTTTTCATTTTAAGCCACTCTAGAGGTACGCTGATCCCTCTTGGGTTATGGTGTGTGTGTGTGTGTGTGTGTGTGTGTGTGTGTGTGTGTGTGTGTGTGTGTGTGTGTGTGTGTGTGTGTGTGTGTGTGTGTGTGAGGTGGGGGGAGGGGGTTGGTTGTTGTAACAGATAATTGCATTATGTATACCAGGTGATATGACTGATTTGTTCATTACTAAATTTAAAAAAATAGAAGTCATAAAAACCCCATCAAGTGTCTACACTCCTGCACTTTAACATTTATATCTTTGATTGCACAGCTCTGGAGAACCCTCTATATTGTTATTGCACATTTACCACTGTCATAACTGTTTTTGCAAACTCACATCTCTTACCTCCAGCAAGTATTTTTACATTCAGTTGACAAGCCTGAATAAATGTTGTATTTCATTTTTCATAAACCAGTAGGAATGTTAAGTTAAATCTTTGATGTATAAATCTCTTCCTATTCTTATTTTTTATATTCTAAGTGCTTATTTAAGTATCTATTCTTATATTGTTTTATTTGCTTTTATAACCTGCTGCTGTAACACCACAATTTCCCAGTTTGGGATCAATAAAGTCATTCTATTCTATTCTATTCTATGCTATTCTAAAGTATCCAACCTCAGATTCATAATAACTTTGGTGTAATCCTGTCTTATTTTTAAATATTGTGTCATCCATTCACTTCTCCTCCTTCATGCACATTAAATTCAGTAAAAGTTGAAGTTATCTTGTTTTCTTTCGGGTGTATTTACCTTTCAGGCATGAGGAGATGGCAGCCAGTGTTTGACCAGCAGCCCTGAAGTGTGCTGAGCCAACAGTAAAATGACCATTAAAGCACCGTTTAATGTGCCATATACAGCAGCCTCCAGCTAATCACCGCCGTCAGGACAGAGGTGATAGCACTCTTTAAAACAACACAACATTTTACTGTCATCTCCTAAACGTTGTTTTCAGAAGGCCACTTTATGACGCCATAAAGCGCAGCGGCTGTGAGGAGTGTGCCGCTGTCGTCGGGCTGTTTGTCCAGCGGAGGCGGGGCTCGTCTCGGTGATTTGTGACGTCGACGCGTCATAAACAGCAGAACAGGAGGAAGATCAGACACATTTATACTTTAATTTGTTTATTTGTGTCAGCATCAGTCGGATATCTTTAGGATTAGGATGATTGATCAGACAAAACAAATGTGACTTCAGCATGTAGTGGATTATTTTTCTTGACCTTTTTTATAGACTGAATCATGACTTCAGGCCGTGTTTGTTTATGAGCCGTCAACATGACGCCTCGTCTGTTTAAAGCCACCTCGTAAATGAGGAGCAAGACGCTCAGGAAAGCGTCGTTTTCTCTTCTCAAACTCTCCCCGACCGCTTCAGGCTTTTAAAGGGAACTCCACATATCGAGACACGTTGACCTTATTGGATTAACGCTGATATCTTTATATGTTTGTAGTCCAAAAAAAACCCCATTTGATTTCTACATTTTGGAACAATTAAAAAAAAAATATTCCCACATGGTGTGTTGTAAACACTGCAATGCACTCTGGGTAGTGATATCGACATGGTGGAATCGTTCTTCTTCCCGTACTCTTTCCTAACGTAATGTTACGCTTTTTCAAAATGAACCTGATCACAGAGTTAGTGAAGAACAGTGTTTCTCAAATGGGGGTGTTTTACCCCTAGGGGTACGTGGGAGTACTGCACGGGGTACATGACAAATGTCGTTTAACACCACAACAAACCAATATAATGATTTCTAGAAAAATCCATCCATACACTGATTAAAGACAAATGAATTAACAACACATGTTCTCTTTGCAACATCAAACAGGGCACTACTTCCAACTTGAGGGTATTCATTTATAATATACTGTAGTTTTCATTATGTATGAATGTATGAAGACCACAAAAACATCGATTTATTCATGTTCTTTTCCTAAATTATTTCCTGAAAAATTCTCTTTGCCGGACAAGGGGGCTCTTGGCTGAAAGAAATTCTGAAAGGGGGTACACAAGCCAAAACTGTTTGAGAACCCTTGGTGGAGAAGACAATAATGAAGAAGTTACTCTCAGTGGATCAAAGTGAATCCAATCAGAGAGGAGAGGAGGGGAGAGCGGTGTTAAAGCGATGATGTACCACAATAGTTCCATTTTGAGTTTGATAATGTTTTATATTCTCTTTGGAAACACGAAGGACCAAACAGCTAATCCGATCCCAGCAGTGACTACGAGTAGAAGGTTGACCTTTCTTGACTCCGTGTTAAATCATATTAAATATGGTTACCATGCTTCCGGAGCTCAGCATGTGACTGCCACATATTCACTTCTGATTTCAGTTAATACCATCCTGATGTTGTATTTTCACCCACGCCACATATTTCTATTTTTATCAACTAAATGGCTTTAAATCAAATAATACTGAAAATAAACTCAATAACGGAGCCTATAAAAGTTCTCCACCCCCTCCCGGTTAATTTCATGTTCTTTTTATTGTTCACAGCACTGACTCTTAATGGCTCCTATGAGGAATTTTTCATCTGGCTATTAAAGAGACGTAAATTAATACAAATCCTTCTATGAGCTACAAATTCAAAG